AGTAATATTTATTATATTAGACCACGCAGAGCGTTAGCAAAGCAACTTTGTGCATACACAAAAATCTACAAAGAGTGTGTGCTTCTCCCATTTACTTCGCACACTATTTTCCAACTAATCTGTGAGAAAGCGATCCACACAATGAGCGGTACACTCCGTGCAGAGCAGGGAGCGAATATAATACAACAAGGCTAATGTCTTCTTTGAAGGCTTTGCTTACCACGACTGCATACTTAGGAGATGAAAAAGGGCATAACGAAGAAGAATTTTGTCTTTTTGCTGGGTTTCCCATGTGCAACTCTATACTGAGTGGCGCTCTTTGCGTCGGAGCCGTCGGAGCGATGGCTACACATTGTGCTTTCGTTATTTCTGTGTGTGTGTCTGTCGTCTCTTCTCCGCTGCTTTACACTTGCGCAGGGTGAAATACAAGCAATCTTTGTGTTTGCGTGACTTTCACTTTGTTTATTTCAGAAAATCAGTACATTGCTCACATTGAGTGATCAGATGACAATGTCTTGAAATATTATGTACTTAACAAATTTTACTCATTTTTAGTCATAATAAAGGTCATTCATCTTCCACTTATTTCCACTAATCTAATTTAATCTAATCTAATCTAATCTAATCTAATCTAATACAAACGAGAAAGCATCCTGGAAAATGATTAGTTTAGATGAGGTCTAATCATTTTTCTTGTCTAATTGATGTTTATAGCAAATCTGAGATATGATATAAACATCAATACGGCCAGGCCTACTGCGTTGTATTTGCCGCAAAGATGATTCTTGGAAATGAATGGGAACATTTCTTGAATCTACAGGGGTGGAAGGATGCGTGGACATACCTTACCAAACGTTCCGAGTTACTATGTGTAGTTGTGTGTAATGTGTAAATATTTGTTCAATATTGAAGAATCATAAAATAATGCAATGGAAGGATCTTACCGAATTTTTTCCTATGTTGGTAATGATTCTTTTGCGCTTAAAAGTTTCGTTTGATGTATCCGCTCCTTGTTTATCATGGAGTTTGGGATGCAGTTCTTCGTCATTGCTCGTGGTTATGTTTAGTGATGTGATGGCGATCATTTCTTTCACTAGAAACTACTACTTCTGGCTGATCCGCCAGCCTTGCATCGAGCTGGAACCGCAATCAAGCCAATCAATTGCCTCCTCGCTCGAATCCTTCGTTGTGAGTGGTTCCGATGGATACGCGCTCATTTTGTCTTACAGGCAGCAGCAATTTGCGGGAGAAAATTTGCACGTTTGATTTTAACCTACTTCCAGTGGATATCACCGTTACCTCCTGGACTTATTTTGTAACTTCCGGCTTCCGGATCGTTATGCCCTTGTAACTAAACCCAAACGGACACAATTCAACAGCGTACATTAGAAAATTCAGCGGAGATCTGCTTTTTCGCAACGTTTCACGGCGACGGCGAAAAAAAAGTAATTTTACTAAAATTTGTCCACTAGATAAAAAGCTCTTTCAATAAAGTCCAAAACTAAAGCGATAAATCAATAAACATTTGTTTAACCACCAGCCAAGATTTAAAAAATATATATATCTATTCACAATGTTAAAAAAAAATACCCCAGCAGGCCTGGGTTCAATCCCAGTCGGCGCCGCCGGGATGTTCTGAGGCATAACATCTCTGATCACGCCTTCCTTCTGAAGTGAACCTTCGGCTGTTGGTCCCCGGCTCATGAGTTGATGGGTCGATAAGTAGGGTCCAGGAGTGGGAGCTGCCTCCCTGGCGTTGGTAGCATTGGTGGTCAGCACGGAAAACAAGATCGACGGAAAACAAATCAATGAAAAAAAAAATGATTCAAAAAATGTTCCACTAGGGTGTTCGCTCTATTTTGCGATACACTGTAGGTGCATTTTAGCCAGCCTTCCCCTACCAACCCAAAATGAGAAAACGAAATCGATTGTCTTGATATAATTTGAACCACCCTAACCCACGGAGAATCCCATTTGGCAAATACATGTACGAGTATGTGCATTTCGCAGTTTGAATTGGAAACTTGCCTCCGCCAAGCGTTTGCAGATCGTTTCGATTTAATTGGAGCTCCGGTAAATTTTGGTTCCGAACCAGCATCGATCGAGAAAGTGCCAGCATGATACGGCAACCAGTGACGCACACATTAAATTAATTTAACAATCCGATTAACTCTCAACCGGTTCCTTGTCTTTGCGAGCAATTTCCGCAAAGAAAAGGATACGGGACAGCCCCATAGCTCTCCAGCAGGCTTGTGTCTTGCCTTCGAAATGTGAACTGTCGGGTTGCAGTTTCTGGTTATTAGTTGGTACGGTGGGGTGGGCATGGATGGGGTACAAAATTGCCATTGTCGTACCCCTTCTTCCCGTGATGTGGCGTCGTACTTGGAGACGGAACCGTCTTGGGTGCTGCTGCGACGCTTGTGGTGTATGGGTGGGTGTTAATTTTCACTCTCCAGGATGCCAACTTGGTTCCGAACGACGACGATGTCACCCTGCTGTTGGCTGCCGCCGGTTTCGACACCACCGGAATGGTGGTATTGTATTGTATTCTCTGTTTCAATCGAAACGGTTCCCAATATACGTAACAACCTACTTGCTCTACACTAGTCCGTTCGTCCGTCGTCGTCTGCCTGTCTGTTGGGAGAATTCTGCCGTGCCGAGCAGGAAGAGCTGCTGCCACCCTAGGGATAGTGCTATAGTGTTGCAGCACTGCACTGCCTTCGGTTGACTGGTTGATTGTTCCCGGGAAACGGAATGAGATTGGTTTTATTTTCGATTTAACTTCGTCTACATTAGGATGGTTTAATTTTATTTAAATGAATGTGAATGTTAAATAACATTTAATTGAATGACATTACCATTCTTCTTCGACGCTACCGCATTGGGTTGGTGTTTCCGGAATGAGTTAGGCATTTATAGGTTGCTGTTTCTACTTCAGGGATATCCACATTGTTCAGTCAGTGCTGAGCTGAGCGCTTGGGCATGAGTAATGTGCGTTTGACGGGGGGGTTGATACAGAGATGCAATATAATGCATATAAATATACTGAGTTTGGCTACCACACAACTGGTCGAATGAAATGCTTCAGGATTTTGCATCCAAAATGCAATAATCCTGATGCTATGGGCAACACTGTCATGCTTGGGTCGAATAGAGTTAGAGAATGCTTTATGTAGGGTGCGCTTTAAAATAATACAATATACTTTTGAGATGAAGAATGAAAGGGATTGTGAATGGATGTGAAGCACGGTACATTTCAAGCGAATGCGAGAGAACTTTTTGTAGTGCAGTGTAGACATTGTGGGAGCGAGTTAATCTAAAGTTGGTAAATATTGAATTTCAGTTGTACCGCATTCACAGGAGATGAATGTTTGAGAATAAATATTTGCTCTACGTATATACCAACATATAACGTATGCCATGTGGCACGATTTATAGATACAACACAAGAAACATAATATATCTAAATTGAATGTTTAGCTATTAGGTAACTATTGGGATGAAGTTGATCATGTTAAAGGTGGTAGGTAACCATTTTTTTTGTTTGTGTAAAAACTTTAAGTTCAAAATTAGAAACCAATTCAAAATAATGTTTAGCTAGGCGCTACAGCTACTTTATAAGGTAAAATAAATGTTATCATGCATGACGCTTGTTTAATTTAAAATTTGGGTTGTCTGGAAGTTCTTTATTAACATATTGTGTGAGAGAGAAGGATTAGTATTTTCCATTTAATTCCACTAATTTATTTGCTTATCCTTGACAGATACGCGTATTTCGTCTACAATGTGCAGATTTCTTCAGTGTCTTGTACTAATACTCGAGTATTAGTACAAGACACTGAAAAGGTCTGCACATTGTAGACGAAATACGCGTATCTGTCAAGGATAAGCAAATAAAGTAGTGGAAATAAATAGAAAATACTAATCCTTCTCTCTCTCATTATACAGGTCCGGACTAAGACACTAAGACGCCCACATTCATCAGGATAAAATATTGTGTTTTTATCTTTAATATGCTTAAACCATATATACTTTAAACTTTGTGCTCCGGCACTTTTTCACTCGTGTTCCGTAGTGCATATCTGAAACTAAATATTTGATAAAGTAATAATAATGATATTACCAAATATGTTTAAAGAAGAGATATTAAATCAAAACGTTTTATAGTTTAAAAGATTCAAATATCTATGTCGAATGATTTTCAAGACAACGTTTCAGCAAAACACACTCTCCAAGAAACATCTCCTACCGGTGGTTCTCTGGATAGACCATGCAATGGTGGAATCTATGGTCAATGCTGGAAGAGCTCCTCATCGGGAAGCGATATGATTTAATTCAATCTTCAGGAAAATCTTCCAGATTTTGTGAAATTCGCTTGCTAGAATTACTAAATTTATTACTAGAAAAGAACACAGAACCAAAATTATGGGATGGATTTTTTACTCTTCGTGCAAAGAAGGTGTTTGTGCTACGTCATATATATGTACATTAACGGTTTGTTTTACAAATGGCTCAAAAACAATTCGACGAGTTACAAAAGAACGAATGGACAAAAGGTCGAATGGACAAAAGGTTGAATGGACAAAAGGTTGAATTGAGAAAAGTTTGAATGGACAAAAGGTTGAATGTGCAAAATTTCGAATGGACAAAAGGTTGAACAGACAAAAGCTCGAATCGAAAAAAGCTCGAATGGAAAAAATCTCTAATGGATAAAAAGTCGAATGGTTCGAAGAAGGACAAAAGGTCGAATTGTCCGAAGCGGGACATAAAGTCGAATGGCTCAAAGACGAACAACAAGTCGAATGGACTCAACGTTGAATGGTGGCAAAAGGTCGAAAGACCAAAAGAGCAAATGGTTCAAAGAGAGACAAAAGGTAGAATGGTAAAAAAAGAGAAAACAATATAATAATGCACACAGATATCCTAAGAAAATCGAAGAAAATTATGTTTCTTACAATCAAGCACTGATTAATTTTAAGAATAATCCCGAATTATTCCAGCTACTGTAATATCTGTGGGGTTAGCGGACGAGAATTCAGAACTGATTCGATCTGTGTGAGAAGAGTCTGAAATTCGTCGTACAGCAAGCTTCGTGACCCTATCGTTCTCTTCAGTAGCGTTTTGAACGATTTTACAGCACTCTCCCACAAACCTCCGAAGTTGGGTGAGCGCGCGGGAATGAAACGAAATTCGATATTGTCGTTCGCTGCATCTCTGGTCACGCTGTCTTGGAATTCCTGGCTGATGAAGAGTTTGCGTAGTTGTTCTAGCTCTCGTTTGGCTCCGACAAAGTTTTTGGCATTGTCGCACATAATGATGACAGGTTTTCCACGTCGAGATGAAAATCGCCTGAGGGAAGCTAGAAAAGCTTGTGTTGTTAGGTCAGCCACTAACTCCAGGTGCACAGCTTTCGTGACTAGGCAAATGAAGACGACGACGAAACATTTCACAGGGCGAGCCCGGCGCTGAGGATAAGCGACCAGAAATGGACCACAAAGGTCGATGCCAACACGTTGAAAGGGAGTGCATGGTGTTACCCTCTCCGACGGAAGGTCAGCCATTAGCTGCTCATGAACCTTCGGTTTGGTACGAAAGCAGCGTACGCAGTCGTGGATTACCTTTCTCGCTAGATTTCGGATGTTTGTAGGCCAGTACTTCCCACGTACAGATGAGACCAGTAGTTGCTGGCCAGCGTGAAATAGATTCTCGTGGTACTCAGTCATGATGAGCATGGTAAGAGGATGACGATGATCTAATATGTACGGATGCTTTCTACTTGTTGGAATCTTAGCGTTTCGTAGCCGGCCGCCAACGCATATAATGCCATCTACAATCTTTGGATTCAGAGATGCAATTCTCGAAGAACCTTGAACTTCGCGATCTTTCAACAAATCAGCATACTCTTGGGGGAAGCATTCCTTCTGTGCCAAGCGTACCAGCATTCGAAGTCCATCGTCGCGTTCGACGAGCGTTAGAGAACCTTGTTTCCGACATCCTCGATTGGCAACCTTGGCGTTGAAGCTGAACCGCCGAATGTACGCTATCAACCATACGAGATCTCTTAATGATGAACGTAGACTGAATATTTCACTTGGTTCTATTCCTTGCAATGCTGCGGCTACTACGCTCTGATTTGGCTCGGATGTTGGCCAGTTTGCTTCATCTTGCAACAGCCAGTGAGGTCCATGCCACCAAAGGGATTCGTACTGCAGCTGTGGTGGAGCCATTCCACGAGATATAATATCTGCTGGATTCTCCGTCCCGGAAACATGATTCCAGGTTCCGTCCTTGGTGATGTGCTGGATTTCTGATACGCGATTTGCCACAAACTCTTTCCATCTGGATGGTATCGATGCCAACCAGTGTTTCACGATAGTGGAATCCGTCCAGAAGTACGATTCCACAGTCATGCGAATGCTGTTGATGACCTTCTCGAAAAGGTGTGCGAGTAGGAGTGCTGATGATAGTTCGAGGCGAGGTATTGAAAGAGATGTCTTCTTTTTCTTGAGATTTTCGAGAGGAGCAACTCGAGATTTGGTAGTGAACAAGCGAACTTCAACTGTGTCATCTTCCGAAATGGTTTTGATGTAGATGCAAGCCCCATAGGCTTTCTTCGAAGCATCGCAGAATCCATGTAACTCAACCCTTTTCAATGATTTTGTAACTCCAACCCAGCGTGGAACCGTTAATCCATCCAATCCGATCATGTTTCTCCGATACTCCAGCCATGTTTCTAGTAGATCGTTGCTCAGTGGATCATCCCAGTTACATTCACGCTTCCACAATTCCTGGACGAACAGTTTGGCTTGAACGATAACAGGACCAATCAATCCCAGAGGATCGAACAATCTAGAGATGTCCGAGAGAACAATTCGCTTGGTTATGATTCCTGATTCAGTCCATTTCGGTGTGCTGAAGTGATAGCAATCCGTCCGTGGTTCCCACTGCAATCCCAGAGTCTTTACTGTGGAATCAGCTGATTCTAGGGTCAAAATAGTCCGATCGTCCCGCAGATGCTCCGGAACGTGCAACAAAATCTCCTCGCAATTTGAATTCCACTTTCTCAGCGTAAGACCTGCAGAATGCATCAAGTCTACCATTTCATCGACGAATTGTTAACCATCTTCTATATCGTCAACACCAGATAGCATATCATCGACTTAGAAGTCGTGTTTCAGCACTGCTGCCGCTACTGGATGTGACTGCTTTCCATCTTCTGCTAGCATCAGCAGACACCTTGTAGCCAGATAGGGAGCGGATGCGGTTCCGTAAGTTACGGTGGTCAATTCAAACGTTCGGATGATTTGATTGTCGGGACCCAACCATACAATCTTCCGGAGTTTCCGATCTGGGCCACATACACCAATCATGCGGTACATTTTGGCAACATCAGCTACGACTGCAAAGCGATGGAGACGAAAGCGTAGATTTATGTTGACCAATTCATCCTGTACGACAGGTCCGACCATTAAAGCATCATTTAACGAGACTCCTGTTGACGTTTTGCAGGAGGCGTCAAAGACTACTCGCAGCTTCGTTGTAGTGCTTTCGGGCTTCAGAATTGCATGATGTGGCATATAATATCCAACTCCATTGTCAGCATTCTCTTCGAAAACTTCAACCATGTGTCCCATGTCCAGATACTCCTGAATAAATTCCGAGTACATATTCCTCAGCTCGGGGTTTGCTGAAAATCTACGATCCAAGCTAAGCAGTCTTCGTACTGCAGTGGATCTTGATTCGCCAAGTTTCTCGATGAGGAAATCCTTTTTCGGCAGAGTGACGATGAATCTCCCGTTTTCGTCGCGTACAGTTGTCTTCGCAAATAAATCCTCGCAAGCTGATTCTTCTACGGAATGTGTGCTGATGGTTCGACAGGTTTCGACTTCCCAGAATCTGGTTAGCTGGTCATGTAACTCAGCAGTTGAGCAGACATTAGTAACGGAACGCGAATCGTTGATTGGGCTATCCGGTACTCGACCAGACACGATCCACCCAAATACAGTATTCTGCAATGTGGGTCTTTTGTCCGTTGCCCTTAGCTGTCCATCCTCCAAAAGATCCAAATAGTATTCTGCCCCGATGATTACGTCTACCGGACCAGATTGGTAGAAGTCTGGATCTGCTAGGAACGATGACTCGGGAAGGTTCCACTCCGACGGATTGAAGCTGGCAGTAGGCAACGATATAGTGAGCTTCGGCAGAACGAAAAACTGCATTTCTTCTTCGAAGGGTGAAATTTCTGGCGTTCTTGGAGCAACACCTGCACTGACCCGTTTCGTTGATACACTCTGTGCTGAGCCAATTCCTTGCACAGACAGATAGGTGTGTGAGACTCGAAATTTGAGTTTGTTCGAGAACTCCTTGGTCATCAAGCAATGTTGAGAGCAAGAATCCAACAATGCTCGAGCTAGCATGACATTTCCAAAACGGTCTTTAACTCGAATGAGTGCCGTTGACAAGAGAATGTTGTGTGTAGGTGTTTTGGGGAGTGCAACATAATTCTGGCTTGTGGATGCTTGACCTGTTGGCTGTGTGTTTGTGCGTTGTGAGTTTTCAGTGTTGGTGGGTGCATTACTTGGCTGAGTGTGTGCTTGTTGGTTCGGTTGCTGTGAGTGTGGCTGTGGCTGTCGTTGTGGTGGATTTGAATCAGAATTTCTGTTCTGCGCGTGTGGAACGGAGGATCTTACCGTGTTTATATGTAGCATTGAGTGATGTTTTTACCTGCAGTGGTGACAAACTCCTTTCTCGCACGTTCGTGACCAATGACCAGGGTGCAAAGAATTTCGGCACAGCTTACTCCTGACGACCGCTTCATTCCGCTCCGTGATCTTCATTTTCTGGAACTTGGCACATTGGAATGGTGTGTGCCAGGATTCACCGCAAAAAGGACATCTGTTGGGCATCTTCACCGCAGCATGACAAACCCCAACCTTCGACTGACGTTGATCGGAACTGGTAGATTTCGGTGGAGCAATTGATTGTAATACCGAACACTGATTGCGCAGGAAAGTCATCAGATTCTGGTACGTTGGTACTTCTTTGCTGTTGTGATTAGCTTCCCATAAACGCAATGTTGCTGTATCCAGTCTAGAGCACATCATATACGCAAGAATAGTGCTCCAATTGGCAGTTTGTTCTTCGATCTTGTCCAACATCTGCAAGTTCTTTTCAAACTCACTGATGAGGTGGTTCAATCCATCGTATGACTCCTTTTTGAGTGGCTCTAGCGAAAACAGGGCATCCAGGTACGCCTTCACAATGAGTTTTTTATTCTCGTATCGATCTTATGCAACCTCATAATTTGCAGCGGAGAGTTCGATGGTATTGATTTCCTTCAAAGCATCTCCCGTAAGCGATGACTTCAGGTAAGTGAATTTGTCCATTGGGTTCAACTGCGCATTCTGATGAATCAAACTCTGAAAAGTATCACGGAACATCACCCACTCACGCAATTTGCCACTAAATGATGGCAAACTGATTTCGGGAAGCTTGACCTTGGAAAATGTTGTTGTTGTTTGGGGATGGTGATTATTGTGCGGGATTGGTTCTTTGGCAGGAAGTAGCTTCAACAGATCCGACTTCAGCTTGCAGAAACGGTTTTCGAACTTTTCGACAGTATGGAAATTCTCCTGTTCCCGAGCAGCCTTTCTCTTGGGTCCAGCTTGTTCAGCATCGCTTGCTTCTTCATCGTCGTCATCGAGCAGCACTTCGATCTTCTCACGTAATGTGAAGAATTCCGCATAAACAGCATCCAAACTTTGCACTCGAACTTCAATCTGACACTCGTCTCTATTGTTATCGAAATGTTGCACAAACTTCTCAACTATATCCAACTTTTGTTGAAGAAAGCGCTCTCGCTTCAACAAATTTCTTAATCCAGCACTCATCACTGATCACTTTTATTCAAAACTTATCAATCACTTGCACTGGCAAAAAACTATCACAGTATTGACAGATCGACTCGACGTTCCACTTACGCGTATCCGCGATCGAACTTTCAACCCAATCGACAGCAACGAGGGGGAATCAATCAAAAAGGAAAATAACAGCCAAACAACCCAGCAGAACATCGAGACCAAACAGATCAGCGGACACAACTCATGCACCGTACCAAAGAAATCAGAGCCTCACATGCGATTCAGAAATTTTATGTTCAGCCTTTCCTCGGTAGGCCACATGCATCAAGCCACCGTTACATGCACAACACTTTCCTGCTTTATTTCAATTGCGCCAAACTCCATCAATCGGTTTCCTCGTATACAGCATCTGCAATCTCGATGGCGCCGCCGTAATCCTGCGATGGCGCACCTATTGTGCCACAAAAGAGGGCTCTGTCCGTGCCACGAAATGGCGCTTCGAATCTTCCTGTGATGGCGAACTGCAGCTTCCAAAATGGTTCACCATTCACTCCGGCCTTTGTCTTCCGTTTTCACCGATGCCGCTTTTCAAACCACTTCTTAGTGAAATTCACTATTTTTTACCGACTTCACAGTCCTTTTTTCGCGAAATTTCGCAGATTACACTTCTCGCGTACAAACGAGCGAGCACTGTCCAGAGTTCGTCTTTACATAGACAACTGTCCTCGACACAAGTGTCCACAAACCGATCCTGACCGTCCTACGGATCCGGTTCGAAGGACCAAAATGTTTATGCGCGCACGGACACTGGATCGCTTTCGGACACTCTTAACAAACATGTTCTTGAAATGCACTGAACATGAAACACTTAGCTTCGCTTCACAAAAACTGTTTTATTACGGATCTATGAAGGACGAGTTTATTCCCCGGCGGTATGATGTTAACTAACTTTATTCTCCTACCTACATGATCAGCTGGCTAGTGAGAGTCCGAAGACTCTCAATAGCCCTTATCTCTAATCTCTTATCAAGAGATCTCCTACGACGAAACAGATATACAAATGAAATGCGACGGACAAAGACAACTACACCTATAAACTTGTGGATCACGTTTGCTCTCCCTGTTAACCCTCGCTTGACCAACTTTCATATTTTTTAAAATGGATATGTATGTTTCTTTGCAAAATTGTAGTTAAGTCAATTCTAAGTAACTTTGCTGACATTGTTTTGCTAGTTTTTAACACTTCTCTTTTAATCAGTCTTCAAGGTGCAGCATAGCACTGATGTGTAAGCAGGCTTTTGCACTTACCTGAGCATTCACTCTATGTTGCACTCAGGCAAATGAACTTGCACCCCAGCATGAGTGCAATAATGTTTACGTTCGAACATCGCTTGCTTCAGCGTTTGAAAAACATCGTTAGTTTTTGGACTCAGCTTTGCTTCCCGTTGTTATTGTTGTAGCGTGGTGGAAAGCTAATTTTTGTGCGAATATCTATTATTTTAAGGAAGTTATTGCTGATAAGAATCTCGGAAGCGGCTGTTATTGTGAAGCTATCAGCTGCCATAAGTAAACTTCAACAAATCCCATAAATAATTTTCCTACTGGTTGTTTGATGTTGTGTATCACAGTTATATGAATTTGTTAATTTGGTTTATTAAATAAGTCAATTAATAATTTTCTACTAAACCTTGAAAAAAGAAGTGTACGAACTTTGACGTTAAGTAAAGAGGACGTTCCAAATATGTCGTGCAAAATATTTTCAATTGTTAACCCCTCTTTTATGTCACGCATCTTTCCATACTTATCATGTAAGGCCCCTCCCCACTTTTTGTTCCCTCTGCATATCTCCATTACTATTGAGAAATGATGAAGCATTCGGTTTTAATACGGTCATTCGGTTTTGATGCGGTCAATCTTGTTTTCATAGCAAGAAACCGATTTTAATTGAAATGTCCCTTCGAAGAGTTAGAGCACCTTCTAAAGGCACGCCCGTTTGTCAGTGAAAATCGGATTCCTTAGTAACAAAATCAAAAATATGACACCGATATTGACCAGTATCAGTACCTTAGGCTCAACCACTTCACCAACTTTACTGTGCATTCTATAAGCATTCTCTCATACACACACCTAAACAACGTTTATGTCCGCACATCGTTTGCTTCAGCGCTTAAAAAAACATCGTTCGTATTCAACTGCAGCAAACAGGCGTTGGCGTTGGAAGGAATGAATGATATTAAAAAAAGAATTATAAAACGGAATAATTCAAGCTGGCATGTTCACCTCTCGTCTGTTATTACTCATAAAGTTGTGTGCTACTTGGGTAAAGACACGGTATTACCAAGCCAGAGGCGGCGGGTTCGATTCCCGGTCCGGTCGAGGGATTCTTTCGGGTTGGAAATTTTCTCGACTTGCCTGGGCATAGAGTATCATTGTGCTTGCCACACAATAGACAAATTCATGCATTGGTATTGGCATCGAAAGCTCTCAATTAATAACTGTGGAAGTGCATTTAGAACACTAAGTTCAGAGCACGCAATCAGCTAATATGCACTAAGCTTGAAATGCGAATAAGATGAAGAAGAAAAAGAAGACAAGAACCATCATTCAATTGTGACGTTTCGTCATTTGAATTGTTCCAAAGGCGCTTCTCACCAATCAAAATAGTCTTCTTAGCGATAAAAACAAACAATGATTCTGATATTTGACCATACTGCAGAACCCTGCCCAGAACCTTTTCTTGTTTGCAATCTCAAAACCGAGGCTCATATCGTCAACAAGAAGAGCTTATGCCCAGAGTTCGATATGGTGCATCTTATACCAGTAACGCACCACGAAAAGGTGATCTACCAGCGTCAAAAGATTCTTTTTATGTTTGACACAACCAGTGATATTAATTTTTGATAATGGTGTATTTTAAGCATGAGCATGAGCATGATTGATCGCCCACGGGCCTGTTCATAAACTACGTAGACAGTATTTTGGGATTCTTCACCCCCCCCCCCCTCCCCCTGCGTAGACAATTGTCCATACAAAAAAAATTAAAATTTGTATGAGCCGTGGATAATTGTCAACCCCCCCCCCCCCCTAAAACTGTCTACGTAGTTTATGGACAGCCCCTACTCTGTTATTGCCAGATCAGCTGTAATTACACAGAGAACCAATAGACGATGCTTGGGGCTAGCAATCATCCTCAATGTGTAAAAACAGGTGACAGGCTAGGCAATACCAGCGCCAGCCGCGTCCGAACACAGGTTAAAAAGGAATGGATAGGAATGTGTTGACGTGACACTCGTTTTGATGAAAGCCGAGTACACCTTTGCACTTCCACGAGGAATCACTGATATATTGGGTAAAAGGGT